ACTTAAGTTAATATAATAATATAAGTGATAAATATATAAATACCTAAAAATTGTAGGATATACATATAAATAACCCATAACTTTATGGTCTATCACTGTCAGTTAGTTTTGACAATAATTTTGTTGTTATTTTTTTGCCAATGAAAGAATAACATTGACAGTCACTGTACGCACGTTTAAAGCCGGTTTATTTCATGCATGATTTTCTCCTGTGATAGGAGGAAGCCGAACCATCCTTCAATTCATATAGGATATGTAGAAAATTTTTTACAGATAATTGTTGGAGTATGTCAAAATAAGATATTATTAGTTTTTAAATATATATTATCAATTGTTAGGATGAAAAGCTCTCATCTACGAGAGATTATTTCTAAGCGGACGTTGAACGTAGTTTACCGTCCGGAGACCAATCAGAATAAATCAAATTAGCGGTACCGAGACGCGGTGCCCAGCAGTAGCGAGCCGTGTAGCGAGCAGGAGGTGACGTGGCACAATATAGTTGGTCTCCAGACGGCATTCAATGTCCGCACAGAATAATTTCACCTCATCTATTCAGGTAGGGGTGTCAATTTCGGGTCACGGGTCGGGTTCGGGTCGAACCCGAAATTGACCCGGCACTATTCGGGTCAGAGGTAATTTTAAAGGACTTTAGCTGTGGTTTTAACACCTATAAAAATATTTGAAACAATCTTAAAGCCTGTACAAAATCATTATCAGATCAGCCAATTTCTTCGACTTTGGCACTTATGTTTCTGCACCCTTGGCTGTCAATAGTAGCCTCTACCAACATTTTAGCTTATCAGGGGCTCATTGGCGATGTTCTCAATAGTATATTGTCATGAGAAAACCACCATGAGATTTATCCCTTTTTGAATGATTTGTCATTTAGACCCAAACTTCTAGAATTATTGATATCTTGCAAAGGATCCATCATATCTTGAACATCAGTCAACTCAATAGAGAAATCGTCGTATCTAAAATATTAGTCAAATCAATATCGTATCAATCATATCAATAGAATCAATCAGATCATTAAATAAAGAAATCAATTCCGGTCAATAATATCAATCGGCATGAAATCACATAAAACAATCAAATCAATATATCGATAAAAATAGTAGAAATCATAGCAATATAGTAAAAGCATATTCTATATCACGTGCTCGGTGTATCACATGCAATACAGTTAATCTATATCACTTGTTCGGTGAATCACATGTTATTAGTCTTATCAGTGTATCACTTGTATCAGTCAGTATTCGGTGTATCAATGAAATCATGGTATCAATATATGTATCAGTATCAATAACGATCCAGTGACGTAAACAGTATGTAATATCAATGAAATCGTGCAGTAACAGTAAACTCGTAAATCCGTCAGTAAAGCCATTTAATATCAATGAATCAATTCAATATCAATAAATTCGTTGATATCAATAAATTAGTCAATATCGATAAATCCATAAAGAAATCATAAGAACAATACTTTACATATGCATTCCAGTACTAATTATAAGCAATTTATGATACTAGATTTCTCTTAAGAAGATGAATATTTTAACTACTACATCCTCCTATTGCACTAAATTTGAATCTTATCATCATCATCCTCCTATATAAAAAAAAATTTGATATTCAACATAATGAAGACATAATAAACTAAGGGATTATAAGGACTTGTTTTGGGTCTAATTTGATTAGGTGTATGTGATGTCTCTCGAGTACAAAGTGAAATTATAATAAACAAAATTGATGATAAATGATATGTATCAAAAGTAGTGCCAACAAGATTTATGATCCAATTGGCTTGGCTCAAGCTCATTAATTTGACTTACAGAGTCACATTTAAAAATCAAATAAACTATATAACTTGCAATTAGTTGGATCATTTTACTATATTATCTATTAATGATTTATTAGAATAATAAATGAGGTTGAATATTTCTTTTTGTCTACTCTTAGTTTCTCTCTTCTTCTAACATTGAACAAATCTGATTTCTAGAAAGATATAAACGCTTCATAAATTTATTTTTTAACTAAGGTTTCATTTGGAATAGCTTTTTAATTGTTTTTGTAAAGTAAATTTTTAGTAGAACAATTTCTTAAACTATAAATTTTAGCACTAAAAATCTGCTTTAAAAGTAGTAAAAAAATATCCATCTTTCTAATTATTTTATAGAATTATTTTTTAGTGCAAAAATTTCTTAAACTTAAATTTTTTATACTAAAAAATTTGTTTTAGAAAACATTTAGAAAGCTATTTCAAATGAAGCCTAAAACTATCATTATGTGATATCTTAAATATAATTATTCTTATTATGAAAATAATTATAATGCTAGAAATAAATAGAAGTAACTGACAATTAATATTGACATAAAATGTGATGTTTGGGCTATACTTCTAATTTTCCAAAAATAAAAATAAAAAACACAAAATAATTTTCTATCGATATGTTTTTCCAAGAAGAATTCACGCTTACCACACATATTAAAAGGAAAAAAAGGAGCGCTGGCTGTGGGTGCAGTAGTGTGGGTGGCCCGGTAGATAGGCCGGGGTTTACGGACCACCTCGTGCGCTCAGCAAAGTCGGACACGACAACGGACGGTTCCTAGCCACAAAAAAAAAAAAAAAAGGAAAAAGGAAAGCAAGAGGACACGTGTGCAAAGTTTGTGACACGTTTGCATGAGAATTATTAGCTAAATCGACTTTGTCAAAATTAGGAGAAAATTTTGTCTTCACATTAACAACCTCTTCTAAGGTTGCACTCTCGAATGTTTTTGAGTTGACTATACGATCTACATTTTCTTATTATAATTTTACAGTAAGTTGATTTTTTTCTTTTGTATTTGCTGAAATTTACTTCAACAAATACGTATTTTAAGATAATATTTAAAATATATATATTTAAATTTATATTGGAGGTCCTATGTATTTTAATTTTAATAAATTTATTATCAAACTGAGCCCATATATAATATATTACAATCAAACAGCACAATAAGTATTCTATTGGATTATTTTTTTTTTTTTAATTCTGTTGGATTAATTGATACAAGTAGTCTTCGATGATTTTTTTTTACTATTTTTTAAAGCAGTTTTTAAGGATAAAAAGTTAAATTTTATAATAAAAACTACTTAAAGAAACAATAAAAAAAATGTTTCAGGCGAAACCTTTATTGTATCATCCCTCTTAAATTAATAATATGAAATTTCTCATATATAAGTA